TGCAAAAAATATTTTAAGATGTTTTAAAACATGTTTTAAAACACAAGAAAATAAAAACATGTTTTTTTACAATCCCTAGTTGTTACCATATCTATAAAGTTATAAAGTTTATTTTTATATTATCTATAGGAAACCTATTTTTTTCAAGTCTTTTTTATATATAATTATTACTTCATTCATTTAAAAATTTTTCAAATAAATAATTTTTTTAATAAAATAACTTATTTGACTTCATAACTTTGTTTTTTGAAACTTAACCTTAATTTGAACAAAATTGGATTTATAATAACTAGTTTTAAGGACTGTACATCTAATTAAATTGTCATAATTTTTAAAAATTTGCAATCAAAAAACATATCAATTGACTTTGTTTCACCGAAATCTTCAATATTAAACTTCTATTTAGTACTATATATATCGCACACCCCAATGTCACATGTAAAAATTTTAATATTAGATCAAATGATCGACGCATCTAAATTTTATAAGTAAAATTTACACAAAGCTTGTTTTATAGCTTATTTAACACTAAAGAAGTTGCCGGTTTAATTTCTATGTATCATTTTGCAAATTCTCTAGCAATTGAAGGTTCTTCCCATGAAATTTCAAGGGTGATTAGAAATAAATCTTGACTACGAAGTTAGCCAATTTTTTTACGATTTTGCTACTATTTGTTTATAAGTGATGTATGTTTATCCAAAATACCCCAAAAAGCTAATGATAAACAGTCAATTAAAAATTTACATAAATGATCTGGACCGACTGTTTTAATCAACGATCTAAATTTTACTATATTAATAGAGAATCGGGAAATAATTGTCAGTAATAATGTTAACGAACTACTTACATATGTATAGCACTTAAAGTTTCAACAACGAAGTGTTAAAAAAAAAAATCTTGACAATATAATAATAAAATATATTTGATATTAAGACAAGGTTTATTTTACATGAATAGTGTTAATACATAGATAAGTGCTACAAGATTTCAGGCTTTGAATTTTCAGGCTGAGTTGATTTAATTATAAGTTCAAAAACCTAAGTCTAATTTTCTTTTAATATTATTCGAATACAAACAAAAAGCTATCATTTTGTTTACATTTTTTTATATAAACCACATGCTATGCTTAATAGCCACACACAAAATATTTTGATTCACTAACATGGCTTAGCCTTTTCAAAGTCTTAGAGGATTTGATCTTCGCCGTGTTTTGACTTTCTCCAGGGGTTTCACCTTTACAGGGGTTCCGCCAGGATTTTGCCGTTTCACCAGAGCTTTGTCGTTTCGCCAGAGTTTTGGCAGTTTCGTCTTTCGCCATTTGCCAAAAATGGGTTCGCCTAACAACAATACTCTTTACAGATATTTCGCCGACGGCGATGTTTTAATTGTTAGTTTACTAATAGACTCGCCTAGTATTACTATTAAAAGTTGGTATAAACCAATTTCTCCGACAATCAATTCGCCGACAGCTATTTTGTCTATAGAACTTGGCCCGATTTAGATTAGGGTTACAATAGCCTGCTTTATATACTGCACAGTCTAATAAATATAAAAACTAATGAATTATAATAACTCCGGCCAAAATTGTTGAACATTTGATTTGGAGTAAAATAATATAAAATTTCACCAAAAAGGATCGATAGTTTTGACCGGAATTATAACTCATTAGTTTTTATATTTAGATCAGCCGACACGATAGTTAGTATTGCCTAGAGATTGTCGGCGAAATCGCTGTTAAGAAAATAGTTGTCGAGGAATTACGCTGTTGGTGAAGTCAGTGAAGTAAGTATTCAATGAAATAGGTTGTCAGTAAAATTAGATATCGGGAAAATAGGCTGTCGCTAAATGGTATAAGATAACTGGGCTATCGACGAAATGGTTGCCAGCGAAATTTACCAAAACCGGCAATAACAACATGGCCATACGATAATATATAACACTACTTGGAAAAGTTAATTCAACCGATAAGTAATGGAATGCAATAATTACAATATATACTTTGACAAAATGTACCAACAAAAATAACTGCACCAAAATTCATTATTTCATTATAATTCCTTATATTACATTATAATCCTATATTTAATAATTTTCTAAAGCTGTACAGGTATACTTTGGGGAAAGTTGAATAAATTTTTGGGATCATATCTACTTTTTATTCGCACCAATCTTCGAAAAATACCACCATAATATCTTATTTGCCAATCATCTAAGCCCCTATCAATGAAATCTTGATAACTCTCATAAGACGTAAAGTTTCTTTGAAAACTTTTTCCAAAGTTATTTATTTCATCAACACATCCAGTAGTTTGTTCATTATCTATCCAATCAGATTCCATTTGTATACAATAAAGTACATCGCGATGTATAAAAGAAGAAGAGCCATCATAATTATTTACAGCCCCACCGTATAAATCGAATGAAGCAAAAGTTTCGCAAGTAGCATTATTCAAAAAAAAAACCAAAGAATCTATAGCTGGTTTAGTTAATCCTTTACCCATATTAACAATAAAAGATTTTGCTTTAAAGAAATTTGGATGATGCACTGGATTCACAACCTCATATTTATTAGGTGATTTAGAAAGTGTTTCAACAGCTTCAAAAAATGTTTGTGGAACAAATTCTAATAAACTCGGATCTGGTGCTTCAGATAAGAATTTGTTCATTGCATTTAGTGCTTCGGTAGGTGGACCTAAATATAATCCAGTAATTGATGATGAACCTTTATCCAACTTCATTTTAAGAGCAATACCATCATCAAGTGATGGACCAACTTTATTAAAAGCATGAAACAGCCGATATATTTGATTCATATTTGTTATATTTGCACTATTATATTCCAATTTTATGGAAGTAACTTGTGGTGGCGTTCGATAAATACGAAAGACAAAATATGTTACTATGCCGTAACTTCCACCACCTGCTCCTCTTAAAGCAAAGAATAGATCGGAATTTAAAGTAGAATCAACTTGTAAAAGGTTTCCATTGGCGTCAACCATTTCCATAGAAATAATATTATCACAAGCTAAACCATACTTACGGCTGTAATATCCAAACCCCTATAAAAAAGAAGTATATAAACTAAGTTATTAGAAATTACTAAAAATTGACAAATGTCAAATCCAACACGATAGTATTATTTCTACCGCCTAAGCCATAGTTTTCATATGAATGACCACCTGAACGCGGAACTATATCGATTTTCATTTCAACAGCACATTTAACAGCTTTTTGTACATCTTTGTTATCAACAGCGTAAACTAGCACTAATGGTGTATAATTTACACGAATAGTTTGATCAATAATTAATGATTGGAAGAGTGTATCATTTCAATAAATTACTGGACCTTCGATTGAATCAAGACACAATGAAAGTGATAAAATATAGCCGGAATTTATATTTACTATAAAATTAAATAATAAAATACACAATAGAAGAAGTGAAACTATGTCAAGCTGATTTATTATCTTCATTTTAAATGTTGCTTTAGCTGTAAAGGTAAAGTGGATTAAGAATTTGAAAGATATAAAATTAATAAGGTATATATAAATATGTGCAGTTAAGTAGTTTTGACTCGAGTCAGCCCGTAACTTAAAAACATAGTCTTAACTCGAATTAACTCAAGTCAAGGCTATGTTTTTAAGCCACGAGTTGACTCGAGTCCAAACACTAATGCCGAGGGAAAACTTGACGTCAAGCTCTTAATTACAGTCGGACCTCCCTAAATGCAACCCTATGAAAAGTCTCCCTAAACGCATGTCTTCACTTGGACCCAACTAATACAATACTTATAGATTTTTACCTCTCTAAATGCATGTTCCTGCCGCAATGCATTTAGGAGGTCTGACTGTATATTATGTATCGGACCAATAATTTGGGATCGTCTAAAGCCAGACCCATTGCATTGACGATAGTCATGCAAGGGTATTATCGCGAGGATGATCCAGGTGACCAACCAGTTTTAGTTATT